ACACCCTGGGGTGGCCAGGGAGCTGTGCATTTCCCTACCGACAGGCAGAATCAACCACAGAAGGCCTCAGGCACAGAGCAGGGGCAGTCTGGGAGAGTGAACTGCCCAGCTAACCAGGAGTATCGCCCAGGGCTCAGGGCAGGTGTTCTCCTCCGGTGCTGCATCAGAACCAAGGAGCCTCGGGCAGGCAGGGAGCGCTGAGCACGTGGGACTTGCGGCCGGGGACTGGCGTGGACCTGAGAACAAGAGATCTAGCCCCCAGCTCAGTGCTTTTCAACCTACCTGGGGCAACGCTCAGCTTTTGTTTCTGAGTACCAATCCCGTCGCGGACCTGTAAACTACAATACAATTAGTTTCATCAGAAATTTTTAAAAAGCAAAAAATATAAAATGCAAGCTCATTGTTTTAAATCGGATTCCAAAGATTAAAAACTTGTCCATCGCACTGCATTGACCTAAGTGCTTATTCTTTGTATCTGTACTTAGCTCACGTGGACAGCAAATAGTGTCACCCAGCTCCGAGCATCAAAGTGATTAGCCCTGCTCTGGGGCGAGCACCTCGGCTTCCTTTTAATGCTTTCAGACCGCTTCCTGCTTCTGATGCTTCATGTTTATCAATTAAGTAGAACTTAGCAGCTTGACATTCCAGGGTGTCCTCCACATGGTCGAAACTGCCATTCCCTTTATCTTTTCCTCTCTCATTCTTTTGGCGGATCATTCAGTCCACCCAAACCCTAATGAGCGCCTGCTCTGTGCCAAGCCCAGGCTGTGGCACACAGGGCAGGCAAAGCCCACTGTTCAGTTGTTTCCCCACATACACCTGCCCCCAGCCCAAGCCGCTCTCAAAGAGGGGCTTAGTTTTGCTGAGTCCACACCTTTGTCAGTCACCGCATGTCTGAATCCCAGGCGCTTTTCAAAGCTCTGTTGGAATGTCAGCTGCTCCACCAGTGATAACAGCTCTCATTAATCTGGCCTCTGTTGGCCCAGGCGTCTGCTAGGCACTTTACCTACAGCATCCCGAATATCCCCAGCAGCTCTACGCCCCTCCTGAAACTGCTGCTCCTTTCACTGAACAGCGGGGCTCTCCGGAAAGTTTCCTGATTCCACTTCCTGTTCTTTTAAATCACATTCAACTTGTTTTCCTTCTAAAGCCAATCTCTGCACCACTTTTTTTTTTTTCTTTAAACTTTGAGTATGACTTACATTTAGAAAAGAATGTGCACTTATATAGCTCAGGAAAGTAGCCGAAAACTCAATACACCCATGGAACCTGCACTCAGATCAAAAAATTCTAACCTATCAGCACCCGTGAAGACAGTCTGTATCACATCCCAGTTACTAGCCCTCCCTCTTCCCAAGAGTAGCCACCATCCTGACTTCTAACTGTATGGCTTAATTTACCCTGTTTTTTATTCATCTAAATTAAATCTAAAAGTACTTTTGCAACTGGCTTCATTTATTCAGCATTGTTTGTGGGATTCATCATATCGTTCATTCTCGTTGCTGTATCGTATCCCATCATGTGACTCTATTGTAGCTTATTTATCCATTGTACTGTGGGTGAGCATTTGGCTGCTGTGAACATTCTGGTCCATTTCTATTGGCAAGTCCACAAATGCATTCTGGCTGCATCCGAAACAGAACTGCAGGGACACAAGACTGTCAGAAGACACTGTGAACATCTTGAAAGGCACTTCTCATGTTCTACTTCTCATGTTCAATCTTGTTTGTGAATTCATTCATTCCCCTTACTAGATTATGCATGGCTCTTAACTGAAGAAATACTGTTTGGGTCCTGCCTCATTTTAACATGAGGGGTCTATCTAACATGCAACACAAGATAGAAAACTGGAGTGAGAAAATAGAAAAGAGAACAAAGTCAGGGGGAAGAAGGGATAAAGTGAATGCAGTGGTCTCAACTCCACAAGGGTTTAGGGACTTTGTACAAAGCTGGGCCACAAATGTGGCTGAGCTTCCTGTCGGCCTGTACAAAGAGGGAAACAAGTTACACACATGAGGCTCACAGGATAAATGTAGTGACTGCTGGGCAGTGAAGCTGTTTCTGGTTCTGAGAAGTAAAACCTGTCAGCCCGGCCTTCCTAAAGAGCATATTGTTTGACATTGAAAATGAAGGATCCAACAACTTCATTTTGTAGTAAGATTAAAAAATCCTGGATCTCTCTTAAAAAATCCTGTATCTCTCCTCATAATCTCCCATAATGTAGACATGACAAAGCACATTCACAAGCGACTATGGGAAGGAACTGATGCAAACAGATACACAATTCTCAAGAGATCTGACTTAACCTAAGAAAAACAACTAGATGCAGAGTGTGGTCTAGGAAACTTTAGGGGTCTCTGAGAGCTTCTCATGCCTGCACAGTCAAAACTATTTTTATAATACCACTAAAGTTTTTTGCCTTTTTTTTTTAAGTTTCAGAGGTAGAATTCAGTGATTCATCAGTCGCATGTAACACCCACTGCTCATTACATCATATGCCCTCCTTAGTGACCCCTACCTATTTACCCTATGCCCTCCCTCCCCTCCAGCAACCCTGTTTGTTTCCTAGAGTCAAGTCTCTTATGGTTTACCTCTATTTTGATCTCAATTTTTCCTTCCCCTCCCCTACATTCGTTTGTTTTCTTAAATTCCACATGAGTGAAATCATATGGTATTAGTGTTTCTGACTTACTTCGCTTAGCATAATACCTTCTAGCTCCATTCATGTTGTTGCAAATGGCAAGATTTCATTCTTTTTGGAGGCTAAGTAATATTCTATTATATATAATACATTTTCTTCATCCATTCATCTATCAATGGACATCTGGGCTCTTTCCATATTTTAGCTCTTCTGTACATTGCTTCTATAAACATTGGGGTGCAGGTGCCCCTTCGAATCACTGTATCCTCCGGATAGATACCTAGTAGTGTAGTCGCTGAGTCATAGTGGTTCTATTTTTAACTTTTTCAGGAAACGCCATACTGTTTCCCAGAGTGGCTGCACCAGTTTGCATCCCCAACAACAGTGCATTAGTGTTCCCCTTGCCTTTTACTTTTTTTAAAGATTTTAATTTATTTATTTGACAGACAGAGATCACAAGTAGGCAGAGAGGCAGGCAGAGAGAGAGAAAGAGAGAGGAGGAAGCCGACTCCCCACTGAGCAGAGAGCCCAATGCGGGGCTCAATCCCAGGACCCTGGGATCATAGCCTGAGCCGAAGGCAGAGGCCTTAACCCACTGAGCCACCCAGGTGTCCCACCTTTTATTTTTTTTTTTAAGATTTATTTATATATTTGAGAGAAGCGGGGAGGGGCAGAGAGAGAGAGAGAGAGAGAGAGAGAGAGAGAATCCCCAATCAGACTCCCTGCTGAGCATGAAGCCAGACACCGGGGCTCCATCCCAAGACCCTGAGATCATATCCTGAGCTGAAACCAAGAGCTGGTCGCTTAACTGACTGCATCACCCACACACTCCAGCTATCTTGCCTTGTTTCCTCTCATCTTCTTATGAATATGTACAGTGGAGTTTTCGAGAGGCCATAGGACTTGTGATAGAGCAAAAGATCAAATGCAGAAGCAAGTATTAGAATCTAGCTGTTAAGAGAATTTATTATGACAGACATTAATTTGCAAAATTATTTTTTATCTTGGAAAACAAATTTTTCACACAAAAATATGTCATATCATTCTATATATGGGTTTGCTATTAATATTCTTAAGTAAATTAGTAAACATTTTAAAATTTTGTTTTAATTTCTAATACAGTATCTACAGGCATAATCCACTTTGGGGTCCTCAAAACATTTTAAGAGTTTTAAAGAGTCCTAAGATCAAAAGTTGGGGAACCACTGATCTAGAGAAAGATTTCCCAAAAAGGATGTTATCCCAGAAGATAATCCACGAAAAATATTTTGTGATCAAATACATTTAAGAAATGGTAAGCCTCTTGGGAATCATCAAATTAGAAGCCAACAGGCCAAGTTTGCTTTAACTCTGTGTTTCCTAATGGTATCCGACCAAGATCCCTCTTCCAAGAGCTTCCATTATTGTCCTGGAGGCACACCGGGGCACCTCGGGATAAACTCCAAGGCCGTCAGGCAGTCCCCAAGAGAAGCATCTCTTACAGCCCAGCTTTTGTCAAGCCTGGGCAGCAAAGTCTGATGTGACACCTCTGACAACATGAAGACTGATCCTTTTATAAACATCAAGGCAGCTGAGCAGGACAGAGAGTTCCTTTTACCTCTACAAAGAGGTGTACCAAGGGCAGGGTCAAAGCCAGGACTAAGATCCCACTGAAGAGAAAAAACGGAGTCTGTTCCATCTGCCAAACAGGCAGGCGAGGTCCCAGAGTTCTCGACGACATCTTCCAGAGCAGATGGTCCATGCACTTGCCTCCGTCATAAAGAAATCTCAATTAAGCGCCCACAGAATGCCAGACTTTAAGTTACACAACTTCCTGGTGCCTCCTCCAAGGAAAATAGTGGCCAAATATACCCTGAATGAGTCAACTTCTTTTATTGGGTTATTAGCCGTAAGTCAATTAAATGTTAGGGAATGTCTACCAAAAAAATGATGCCTTTGGTTTCGGAACCATCAGTCCGAGTTCTTTTTGACAGTAATCACGTAACAGTGTCAGTTGTCCATTAAGCAAACTCCCAGTTCACAGTAATAAAATTATGTCATCAGGCAGCTCATCTAAAGAGAACCCACAATAATGTGCAAGGCACTCTGGGAAATCTAAAAACGAAAAAGAGGTGTCTCTTCAAAAGCATATATAATCTACTAAGGGGCCAGACAAAGCACCAAAGAGAGAGAGATAGAGAGAAAGAAAGAATTCTCACGCTCATTTCTGCAGCGGCTGGTGAGAAAGCTGGTAGAGCACGGCGACCAGTAAGTATCTGTCTCAACAAATTTGCTATTTACTTTTAAAATGTTTACTTGAACACAAACTGAGAAACGCCACACAATCGTATATCTTATCAAATAGAATCTAGTCAAATAGTGCTTCTTAGTGCGATTTAATGAGTTTATGTAGGATTTAAAAAAAAAAACACCACTGTGAATTAAAAATAGATCCTTTTAATATACATATTTTCACTTCTGTTAATTCAACACTGATTTCTACTATGCATGCACAGTCACTGGATTGAACTTGCTTCATATTTATTTATTTTCCAACATGCAGCAACAAGACGGCTAAGCTGAACTGGTTATTCTTAAAGAGTACAGTGTACCTTGTCCTCAGAGTTTTATCAACTCTAATGTTTCCAAAGAGCCCCATGAGGCTGCTCAGCACGCTGGCTTTTCACTGAAATTTCCTATTTGGAGGATGGCAAGACAGACTAGGATCTTCCCGGGTCTACTGGCTGCTTGCATTCACATCACAGCTTGGCTGGGAAAGCAGTAGATACTGAATAATAAGTAGATCTCCTTCAACCACAGCTGGGTGAGAGAGCTTCATTTTTAGAAAGTAAATCGAATCATGAAAACCTCCCTAATGGTGTGATTTGCTCCAGGGTTCTTTTGATACTTAAGAAGGGAAATATTAATCCTTGTGCACAGTACTCTTATATCCAGCTTCATAGAGTTTTCTTCTCCAGCCATCCTTCTGCAGTGAGGCAATTTATTGTACTTGCGGCAGAATGGAAAGCATGAAGATGTCTTTCATAATCGAGGTGGTGATAGCCTTCTCATTTCCTGCCAAATGGATCAGACCACACTTTTAACCCTATAGAAAGAAAGATGAATCAAAACAGGATTCACTTTTAAACTTCCTACCACTTCCCTCAACTGCAAACAAGCAAAATGACATCAGAATTGAGTTGTGCAATTTCCATGTAGTTTGAGACAGTGCAGGCAAGCTGCCGGAAGCCTGGGATGCTACGGCTGGGCAGCCGTGGCCGCCGTGAGACTTAAATGGCTCACAAATTGCCCCACAACAGGAAGGAAGCTATGTATCTGGCCTAGTCGAAACATAAATAATCATTAAAAAAAAAAAAAAAGTTGCCACAGATTACAAGAGTTTTGGTTAATAAACTGGAAACCTCTCCTTCTCACCCAACTAGGATCATCTGAAAGTAACTAACCATTTCAGCCACAAAGGGAACTTTAGAGCTTCTGGAATAAAGCAGAATCCTGCCTCAATTAAAATAGCTCTCAAGTAAACAGCCTTTATTCCCGCGAGGGCAGGGTTTAACTAGGTGCTTGGTCTATCGGTCTACAGGACAGCCATTGACCCTTGATATTCGATAGCACACTTGTCACACTTTTATGCCCATTTATCAAATGCACAAGAGGAATGTGCCAACTCGCAAAACGTATTTCGGGGTGAACTGTTAAAAATAAGTCTTGGGTGGCTCCTATAAAATAGCAACTTCTGTGCAACGAAAGGCACAACCACCTGCCAGCCTCTGCACTCAAAAGATTTCTTCCACCTAGGGCAAACACCCCCCCCCACACACACACACAATGGCACAGATGCGATTCTGTTTTGATTTCTAAGTTTACCTGGCGGCTGCACATTTTCTTGAATAATACCGGCTCGATTTATGGCTTGCTCCTTCTCTGAAAAACACAATAGAAAAACTGCTTTTACAAAGGTGGGGGGTGGGCCGTGGTGGTGGAAATCTTTCTATTTATGTGGGACAATGACATGGGACAATTCAGAAACAATATACACAAGACGCAAATACTCAAAGCTTTTAGGTTATGGACGTCAGATCCTCTAGAGCAGAAAGACTGGGTATTTTCAATAAGAGCAAAGAAAGCCGTACTTCAAAAGAAAAGCTCTCGACTAACATCTTTTCTCGGTGATCTCAGCATTTTGGAAAGGCAACAAAACAACAGAAAAAGAACAATTTTGAAAGAGCTGGTGGGCGTGATATTATGAGGAGAAGGCTGCCGAGCTGAAGGAAGAAGCACAATGAACAAGAAAACGATGTAGTTTCTATGTCTCCAATGTGCTCCGCTGAAGGACTAGACCCAGCGCTAAGTACGCTGTGTTTCTGATAGGAAATAGAGCAGAAAATGAATCTTCGGGTGGGTGGCTTTGGTTTGGATAATTGAAGCTTCCCTAATTGATTGCAGGTGCTGTGCCAATTAGTAAGCGTGTTCCAGCTACAGCAGCTCAGCCCAACTCTTTGGAGATGTCCCACAGGCAAGGGCCAAGAGAAATTGGGCATTCTATGTCTGTGGGCTTCAAGCATTCTGACACATCTTTCTAAGTGGTTTAGAATAAACCATAGGTCTGAGAAAACAAAGACTTATTATTTTAAGTATCTGGACAAACAAATGGTGACTTTTTAGGGGAAAGACTGGGAGCCAAAGGACGTTTACTACTGAATTATAGTAATTAAATGTTGTAATCAGACCTTTGTCTTAATCAGGCTGACACTGTTTCTTAAAATCCACATTTAGCTCTTATTTAATATTAGGCTGCTTCCTTTATTCTGGCCTCTGGATTCTCATAAAGTTACAAGAAGCATAAAGGTACAAGGAACAGGGATTTGCCAAATCGAATATTCATTGAACTCGCTTCTCCAGTGATGTGACAGAAAGTCAATCCTAAGTGACCTACCTGATAGTTTTATCAACGCTAAGTTTGTGCTTTGGCAAATAAAACACTGGTCAATAAGGATTATGTGAATCTTGATATCTAATTCTAAGACAGACAGAGGGAAGACACAGCATAATGAAGCCCATTACAGACAATGGCCCGATGGTTTCCCTGGGCCTTTCTGAAAGTAGCAGGTAAGTGATAACCAAGACCCTCAGGACAAGCTATGCCAAAAATCTTCTTCCATCTAGAGTGGATAATGGAGCTCTCAGGTGTCGGATTTTCTAAAATAACTCCAACACAAAAGGTGATCTCATTTCCTAAGACATTAAACTCCTATAGGATTGAGCCCTCCTGTACTGTCAACATGTAAGGTTTCAAAGTAGATGTGTCTCAGATATGCTCTTAGAAAATGCCAACCAGTGAAAGACTACACTGCCATCTATGGTGCCAGGAACAAAAATAGATACGCTTTTCCATGCCTAAAAGGTCCATTTGCCAACATTTTGGAAGACGTGAATTTTTTTTTATTTTTAAAGATTGCATTTATTTATTTTAGAGAGAGCATGCACACACGCCAGCGGGGTGAGAAGCAGAGGGAGAAGGATAAACAGGCTCTGGGCTGAGTGCGGAGCCCAATGTGAGGCTCCATCCCACGACCCTGAGACCAAGACCTGAGCCAAAAATCAAGAGTGAGACACTTAACCAACTAAGCCAGCCAGGTGCCCATGGAAGAGGTAAGTTTTTAAAATAATAATCAATTGCCAGCAAGCTTTCTAGCCATAGATCTAAGAGAAATCAGACAGCCGGTGTATTGAACACATTCTCCAAGATGCGGGTACTGGGAAGACACTGGCAGACTGCCAAACACCAAAGGAAGTTGACTTTTGATAGCAAGGACAGAATGTCTAATTGTATCCTAACCTCTTACAATGCAACAGAAAACCAAGTGAAGAGAAAGGAATCCCTGTCTTCACACTTTCTTGCTAATTGCTAATGAGGTTCAAGAGAGGCTAAGGATTTATTTAAAATAGACCATAATATCTTTATAATCCTTGTCCTTATGCAACCACCTCTGTTTTTTTGACTGGGACAGCCAATTTAAACCGATTTGCTGAACTAGTTCCTATCAAGTGATAACCGGTATTAGCATCCTATCTACATTCCCTGGTTCTTTAATCCATTAATGTTTTATAAATATTCTAAAGCCAAAGCAGTCTTACATAAATTCATGATACAACACAAAGGCACTTTATAATTTGTGAATGCGGAATATGCTAAAAGGAAAACAAGTCCCTCCGGATTTAGCAGTAGGTCTTGTTGAAGTTGACAGCAAGTTTTTATTTTGTGATCATTAAAGAAACAGCAAGTGTCTAGAAACATCAGGAAAAGGGCAATGCTGAAGTCAGAGGTTTAACTATGTGAACAAGTCAGGATAAGCTAATTACTGACTTTTCAGTAGTGAGCATGTTTCTATCAGGAGTGAAATGATTAAGACGCAAACAGGCAATATTGGGCCTGGAGTTTCCTGAAGCCCGTTAGAAAAGGCCCCACTCCAGTGTCTCAGCAAGCCCGACTCTGCCCCCTGGTGCTAAGGCAGTGGTGTGATTTGAGTTTTAATTGAGGATCATTATCTCTAATCAGAGGGCCAAAGTGTTATTATTAAAACTAATAATGTGTGTGGGCGGGCTGATTCTCCGACTGAAGTGACATAATTCACCTACTAATTTTGAAGTCTCTGGAAATGAAAACATATCTTGATATTAAATGTCCGTACTAACAGCTCAACTGTGTGACTTGTTACTTTCCCATCCACAACCACGCAGCAAAGGAAGACACTGTTCCCCAGCGCCTGCTGACAGCTGACTGCCTGAGTGTGAGGGCTTGAGGCTTGAGCGCAGAAACGGCATCTAGAAACCAAAAGCAGGTGCAGAAGGTCAGGACCCCGGCGCCCTGCCCAGTGAGACAATGGCCTCAGGACCTCTTCCCGCGGTCTCCTTTTGGTCACAGACAGTTAAAAATAAAAGCAGCTTTTTAAAAATAAAAGCAGCTTGAAGCCTGAAGTAATTGGACAAATGGCAACATTTGAGTATGGACTGTATATGAGATAATAGCATTGTGTCAATATTAAATTTCCTGGCTTGGTGAACTGCATTGTGGTTATGTAAGAGAATGCCCTTGTTCCTAGGAAATCCAGGCTGCAGCATTTGGGAAGGAAAGCTCACAGAGTCCTGAACTTACTCTCAAATGGTTCAGCAAAATAACAGAAATAATTATACGTATAAGTAATTATGTATGTATATGTGTATGTATGCAGGTATGTACAAATCTGTAACAGAGCATTTTGGGGGAAGCAAATGCATCAAAATGTGCATTGATAAATCTAGGTGACAAATAAGCAGGGATTTATCGTACTATTTTTAGGTCTTTTCTGTTGGTTTGGATTTTTTTTTTAAATAACTGAAATACACAACTGCAAAACAAGTTTTTAGGAAGTCCTTACACTTCCTTGTGACTGTTCTGTGATTACCTCACGTACTTCATGTAACTTTGACTACTTCAAAGGACCTCTTTTTAAACAGTAAATAAAAAAATTAAAAATTACTTGTTCAGTGTTCCCATTCTGCTGCTGTTACCTCGACATGTCCTCTGTCTGCCTACGGATGGGGTCAACCAGGACCAGCAGCAGAAGGGACCCAAGAGCTGTGGTGGCAAGTGTGAACCAGTGGCTGAGGGGACCAAAGGGTCAATGGAGGCACCGACTCCTCCCAACACTAGAAACACTTTGGCTTCCTCATCAGAGAGTCTGGTTGAATCCAGGGAGCTCTGTAATGCCGGTTAGAAAATAAGACTTTAGTCTGTCCCTGTACTGCCCTGGACTCTCCAGTGAAAGAAATAAAAAGCATATTCCAGCACCTGGCACGGCATAGGGAAAATGCCCTTCCGAGGTAAGAAGTATTCCCAGGTCAAGCGATTTCTCACAACCCTGTTCCGACTCTGTACAACAGACTTCCAGCTGGGGCAGAAGGTACAGCAGTAAGGCGACCATGTGGGAGAAGGACTGAGGTCCCCTCACGGCAATCCCGAGATCCCGTACAGCCTTTCCCTCTGCTAGTACACACTCTGCTGTCTTCAAGGCATGAGAAACGGGGTATCATTAAGCAGCAGACAAGGCTGGGGAGTCAGGCTCTAGTGTCCACCCAGCAGTTAATGTGCTCAGTGACTATGGACAAGTCATCTAAGTGAGGGAATTGAAGGAGCATGGGTTTTCTGGCAAAACTCAGGATTTTATGCTTCTGTGCATCTACTTAAAGTTAAAAATGAACAGGATCACCGAAAGCGATCCTATTCTGTCTCATCTCACAGGCTGGTATAAAATACACGTTATTTTTAAAAGGCCATATTCAGGATCACAGTCTAGTTCTAGGACACAAAGCCAGATTAGGCTCTGAGCTACAGCAGCTGTACTCTCCCTGAAATGGGGGCTCTTCCAACAAGCCACGCCGTGCCAGCAGGATGAAAGCTAAAAAACATCACCTGGGATTCCTTCCAGGAGCACAGCAGAACTGTCCCCATACTTCTGGTTTAGGCTTGCTGACCACCAGTGCCAATGCCGTCTCCCCAGGGCTCATTTTGGACTCAAGTGTCATGTGCAGCACTGACCTTGTCATCCCTGTTTAACACTTAGGAAAGTCTGGCTGAGTTAGCGCAAGAGCTGAAGATCACACTGAATGTCAACATGAAATCCAGTAAGGCAGTCTTGTCAGAGCAGCTTGCCTGCTTTTAAGGCATAGAAGATCGTCTTGATTTTATTTTTAAGCAGCCTTCCCCTACTTCCCTGCTGCCTCAAGATGTCCCCTCCATGGCCCGTGTCCAGGCTCACCAGAATTAGTCAGACTGGCTCTGGTAAAGGGTCAGTGCTGACCTGACCCTCGGGCCCAACATGGGAACGTGGGTTCCTCCCTTGCCAGCCACAGGCCCTACTTCTCCAGGACCGGATGTCTGGCCT